GGCTTAAAGAAAAATCCATGGGCCAGAGATTCTAGATGTTTCTCCATGCAAAATGCCTTTTTCCCAGTTCACTGCTTTCCACCCACTGTAACTATTGACAATTTCCAGGGCTACTTTACAAAGTAACTGTGTTAGGTTTGAATTGAGACATTGCTCAAGGTCTGGTCTCAAATTCACCGCAATCCTTCTGCCTCAGCTTCCTGAGTGCTGGATTTCAAGTGTAAGTCACCATGTATATCCCACTAGGATGTTTTTAATTTCCTTCCTGGTCTATTTAAAAGAGAGAGAGGGGGAAAAAGAGCCATTGAACACTGAACAACTTAAAGAATGCTACAGGATGCTCTCCTTCCATCTGTTGGCTGATACAAATACAGCATGTTGACAGGTGAAGCAGACTCATTGTTTCTCCTGTGGAAAATTGAAGCTCAAGTGTACTTGTATTGCATTTGTATGAATTTTATTCTTTTAAAAGTTCGCATTTCTCTTTGTGTGCATGGGTGTGCATGTGGAAATTGGAGGACGGTATGCTGTCATTCATTTCTCTCCTTCCCCCGTGTGAACCAGGAGACCCAGGTTCTGTTCCCAGCACCCACATGGTAGTTAACAATGGTCTGCAACTCCAGTTCCAGGGCATCCAAAGCCCTCTTCTGGCCTTTGCAGGCATCAGACATACATGTGGTACACAGAGATACATGCAGGCAAAACACTCACACATAAAATAAAAACAAGTTAAGTCTTAAAGAGAAAAAAGAATTAGGTCCATGGAATCTTTTACTTTTTGAAGTCTTCCAGCCAATAGAAATATATATTATTCAGTATACTCTTTTGGAATATAGCTTTTAAACACCAGGTTCAATCAGTGTTTCTTCTATAAAATATAATGGTCAATCAATGTAAAACTATAGGGAAAATTTTGATTTCTCACATACTTTTAAAATATAATTAAATCTCAGTAAAATGACACACTTTCTACTACAGATTATGGAAAAACAGAATTCAGCAATCAAATTTAGTATGACTGCAGGAGTTAGAAACATCATATTTGAGCACACATCATATAGCATCATCATCTTATGCATACAGATACATCAAAGCAGAGATGACATGGCATAGTGATCCTTGAACTTAGGCTACTTATAAATCATTAGAATCTTGGCATGCATAAGAACTGTTCTGATTCAGTATCCATGACCATTTCTAACCATCTTCCAATGTGCCATGTGTACTGAAGGATCTCATTCGAGTATCTGCCAACTCGTAGGCCTGGACTGTGTCTGTCAGTAGATGTGTGTAGATGATGAGAGGTATTAGCCCACTTAGTCTTCATCACATCCTTCATAGGAGGAGACATTAGATATGAACAGCTAAGGCGTGGGAAAGTGGTCACACACCTGCCAAACTGCTGTGATAGGATTCAAATCTGCCTGTGGCTTTGAAGCCTCTGCTTGTGATCGTTATTCCACACCTCAGTTCCAACATCTGGAAGGATTTGGCTGAAAGTTTCAATAAAGTGAATCAGGTGCCAGAATATTGGCATATAAGTCCTTATGCTCTCCTTTCCCTGTCTCCATATATCTGTGTACATGCATATATTCTCCATATGTAATATGTACTTAAGTGTTTTCTAATATTCTAATGTATATGTATGTATGTGTGTTTATCACAAATTTATTGTGTTATTACTTTATTTCAAGCAGCTGTGCCATAAACCAGAAAACTGTTGTAGTTCCCAGTCAGTTAAAAGTGGAGTCTTTTCCTGAATATGGCTTTAAACAGTAGACTCAATCAGTTTCTTAAAAAGCATTGATGGTCAATTCTTGGCTATATTTTCTGGCTATATGGTGCAGTTGCTTGGAATAAAGTAATATTTGGGGGCACGTGTCTTTTGCTCATAATGAGGATAAACTCTGGAGAAGAGGATCTTTCTGTGTCCTTAGGTAGAAACCAATGCTAAGGCTTTTGTGAGGTTTCTGACATGGTTATAATACAATCTAATGAGGGATATCCCTGGCTGCACTCTGCAGTTCTCTGGTTGTCGTGGAACTCACTCTGTAGACCAGGCTGGCCTCAGCCTCAGAGATCTGCCTGCTTCTGCCTCCTCAGTGCTAGGATTAAAGGCATTCACCAGTACACATGGCTACAGAACCGGGAACTCTTTAAGATAGGTGCTATTATGTGTAAACTTACAGCAATAAGGGCTCGTTATTTTGACTCATTACACAGACTCCTATAGGCTTTATTGATCTCTTACTTACATTTAATTTGGGTATATTTACATGCATTATTATAACTTGATGTGTAATTAAAAAATTAAAGACATCATGTAGACATATCATAAAACAGTAAACTCATTCAAGTGTAGTTAGTCTTTGAAAAAGAAAAATTCTAAAAGTTTGGACAATTAGTTCTAGAAGGGTGATTCTCTGTGTTTTCAGTAGGAAAAACGGGGATAAAAGTTTGTCTATTAAGTACTTGGAAACAATTTAAAGGTTAAATTCATCATGACTTTGACTGAATTAAACAGCACAAACAAGCCAATGAAGCCAATGTTTATCTGAGACCAAGGGTTTGTGTCTGTGCAGTGTGACTTCCCTCTGGAGACAGTTCATGGTCTTTACATCTTCTTTCAAGAAAGAAATTACAATAGTAATTCCCTCCAGTGAAACCCTATTGGTTTACCCTATCTGAAGGCTCGTAGCCATTTGCTTGCTTTGGATTTAAGGCTGTGTACTTTAAAGTTTAATTAATACAGTGATTGGAAAACATATGCCTTTAGAGAAGATGAAAACAACTTGCTTACCTTGAACTTCACATGGGAAAGGTGACATGTGAACTAGGTGAAATTACATTCAAAGATTAAGTTAGAAATGAAAGAAGCTGAAAGTAAACTTTCGACTTATTTTAGAGTTCAAGGAAAGTTGAACAGAAGTTTAGTTCTTTAGAAAAAGAAGAAAAAGTACTGTATGTAAATATGATCCTAAGATAGTCTGGTCATCCTATTTCCTCCAAGAAGCTCTGGGAATACACAAACCTTTTAGACATGGAATAACATGGCCAAATACCTACTTAGATTTTGATATATTAATTTACTTCTACAATACCCACTTAAATTTTGATATATTAATGTACCTCCACATATATTTTTAAAATGACATTAGATAAAGTACTAATTTAGAGGGAAAAAAACCTACTTTCTTCCACTTTTAAAGTTGATTGATTTTATTTAGATTCCTCTTTTCTCTCACTGTTTACCAGCAATCGCCATTTCCATCTAAATTCTTCAGGCCTCTTTGTTCTTTTACTAACTTCTTACATTAATTCTTTCAGTATTAGTTGTATATCAATATACAAATGCTACTTTAATGATAGAAAATCCCCAGTTATTTGGAACAGTCTTTCCTGGGGTCAGAGAACTGGCTCAATGGTTAGTAACATCTATTCTTGCAGAGGTCCCAGCACCCATGTCGGGCCATGGACTGCTTGTAGCTTTATGGGATATGGTGGTGCCTTTGACTTCTGTGTGTATCTGAGCTCACAGGCACATACCCACCTACATATACACAGTTAAAGATAATGAAAATAGTTTTGATTTCCAGCATGCAACCACCCTAAACAGTGCCTATTGATTTTATCTATAATGTTTTATTTTTTTCCCATGGGGGTTTCTGTCTTGGAACTTGGGAACTTGGGTAGTCTTGAATTTATAGTGATCTCCTTCTGCACCTCCACACCCAGCTTCTTTTCTTTTCTTTATTTTTTACCCGAGACAGGGTTTCTCTGTATTGTTTTGGAGCCTGTCCTGACACTTGCTCTGTAGACCAAGCTGGCCTCGAACTCACAGAGATCCGCCTGCCTCTGCCTCCAAAGTGCTGGGTTAAAGGTGTGAGCCACCAACGCCCGGCCACACCCAGCTTCTTTAAAAGATTTTTGTATAATTAAACCTAGTACTTGAAATCCTAAGTAAGGTGTACTTACTAAGGCTGCATGAGAATTTGCTTTCAAACACATTTTCAAGGCGGTACCTACCCTACAAACAAACACTTAAAATTAGCAGTGACCAAATTGTTTCTATCTCTGGAGTTTTCTTCAAACAAAGCTTTGTGTAAGGCAATAAAGTACAGTAGTGCTTGGAATTGAACCCAGGTCTGCTGGAAGAGCAGCAGTGCTCTTAACTGTAGAGCTATCTCTCCGGCCTCACAGAACTTAGGTAAAGCTGTGGTCCTCACCCATGTCCCCAGGACTGGTCCTGTCACTTGACTTGTGCATCCGTGAGGCATTCTGCTCCTTTACTCCTTCAAAATTATTCTTTAAATCTTTAGTAATTTGCAATAAATAGATAACCTGGAGCAGGAAAGAATCTTATTTAGTAGCCAGTCAAGGTGATGTAATTAATCCTGGAGTTATTAAAATATCCATTTGCAAAAGAAGATAACAACTGAGGAGATAATGGGTATATGGTAGGCATGTTCACAAACATTTCCATCTCTGTTGCAGAACTGGCTATCAAACCCTCTACCAGCTAAACTATTCCTGGCGCATTCCCAATGTGGCTTGGTAGATGACAATGCCCTTGCCATTTTCCTGATAACTGTGAACTATGCTGTTAGCCATGAACTGTAGATTAGAGCAGTGTTTTATTACTAAGGTTGTTGATGGTGGGTGATCACAGGGTGTAGAAATGTCTGGGTCTTTAGAATTTGATTGGCTGCTGGTTTTTTGTCTTAACTAGTCAAGGAAATGCTTTTTTTACAAATGTAAACAAGTGGCAGTGGTGAAGATCTTCACTTTCATATCTTTTATGAAAAAATCTATTACTATAATGGTTAAGTTAAATTTTTTATGGTAAGAATATCTCACTCTGTCTTTGCGGTTTTCAGACTTGTATTAAAAATATTAGTATCATTAGTGTACTGGATACACAGAAATTCAGTACTCTATATTATTAAGAGTGTATTATAATTATGAAAATAATGGTGAATTTTGATTTTATCTCTCAACAGTGGAAAGAGTGGAGCGAGAAAACCTTTCAGACTATTGTGTTCTGGGCCAGCGTCCAATGCATTTACCAAATATGAACCAGCTGGCATCCCTGGGGAAAACCAACGAACAGTCTCCTCATAGCCAAATCCACCACAGTACTCCAATCCGAAACCAAGTGCCCGCATTACAGCCCATCATGAGCCCTGGTCTTCTCTCACCCCAGCTCAGTCCACAGCTTGTCAGACAGCAAATAGCCATGGCCCATCTGATAAACCAACAGATAGCCGTTAGCCGGCTCCTGGCTCACCAGCATCCTCAAGCCATCAACCAGCAGTTCTTGAACCATCCTCCCATCCCCAGAGCAGTGAAGCCAGAGCCAACCAACTCTTCTGTGGAAGTCTCTCCTGATATCTACCAGCAAGTTAGAGATGAGCTGAAGAGGGCCAGTGTATCCCAAGCTGTGTTTGCAAGAGTGGCATTCAACCGTACACAGGTACAGTTAACACCATTCTCACCATTCTCCAGGTCAGCTCCCAGAATCTTACAGTGGCATTAAGAGTCAGAACAGGGAAGAATGTGACATGTCTTCATTTCTTAATCATCTCTTCTGAATGCATTATGGGGATGAGGAGATGGCTCAGGAGACGCTTGCTGTCCAAGCATTAGGACCCGAGTCCAGATCCCCAGCACCCATGTAAAAGCTGGCCACTAGACACATATCTTTAAACCTAGTGTGCGAGAGGTGGCAGGGAGAATCTGGAACTCTCTGGCCAGCAAATCTGTCCAATCTGTGAGCAAAGAGACCCTAGAGTGGAGATCCATAGGGGAGACTGCAATGTCAACTTCTGGCCTCCACATACATATGTCATACACACATGGCACACATGCTATACAGAAAAATATGAATTTCAAAGCATACATAATTGGATGATATTTTCTGTTATGATATAATGTCACCACTCATCTCTACAAGGTCTTAATGAATCTATTTCAATAATGTAACAAATACCTGAGATACTACCATCCAGCTCAGCTCTCAGAATCTTACCACTGAATGGCAGGGTGTCTGTGTATACTCCACCCTCATCCTTACCGTCTGTGTTTCCCTGGATGGACACGTGATCAGGAATTTTCTGATCATCTCCTCCACCATTTAAAAAATATTTGAGACTAGTTGTAACACTATTTATGCATGATCAAATAGCCTGTTTTTACATCTTGTTTTTTTGAACATTTCAAAAGCATTTCTATAAACCTTTCAAAATGTGCAAGTCAGAGTTTAGATAATTGCATATAGTTACTTATATTTTTAATGTTTCAAAAGAATTACATGCAGCTATAATTTTACATGATAGAGGTGACAGTGCCTTCACACATATGTTGTCTTACAGAGTGAGCTCATTTGAAAGATTTTTTTTTCCCCATTTGTGCTTCGAGTGTACATCAGAATGGTGTAGTGTTAAAATAAGGATTTCAGAGCTCATCCTGATTTAGACCTACAGAAGTTTTTTTTCTTACAAGGTCTGGGGTGGTGCTGATGTTGCAGACTCAGAGTAGAGGGGTACATTCTGCAAACCATTTATCCTGTCTTACAAGGAGCCAATGGATAAAAAGACTTAGCCTTGGGGAACTAATGGCCTCAGCAGTGAACAAAGGGTAGTCAGAAACATGGTGGATAGCACAGGAGAACATATGCATTGGGGGCCTCGGAAGCTGGGATTGGGGGACATTTACAATAATAGAATGAGCAATGTGATTCATTAGGAACACAGCAGGCTGGAGCTCAATGGTCTTACTGCCTGTGAGGTAGGGAAATAGAAAGAGTCCTGGATGAAAACTTGAAAAACCTGAGTTTTAGGTTACTTAGGGAAGAAGATTTTGAAGGTTAATAAAATTTAATGAAGATCAAGGAGTGGAATTTAAGGGAAATATTGAGTCAAAACTGTGGGAATAGGTAGTTGATAATAAAACTAAAGATATTAGTGGGAGATCGTAGGTCAAAAAGATCTTGTAAGAACTTACTGAAAGTTTTGAACTTTAAGTATAAGAAAAGGCAAAGGTCTTCTGTGGGAATGTGCTATGACTCAATAAGCAAACTGTAATCTTGGAAGGTTTTGGTTTTTCTCTCATTATAGCAGGTGGGTAGGACTGTCAGTTAGGAGGCTGCTCTGAGAGACCAGCTGAAATGTGGGGAAGTACTGTAAGAGATGGGTGTCAGTATAGAGGAGTGTGGCATGGAGAAGTATCATAGAACTAAAATTGTGGCCAGTGTGTTAATGGATATGGGAGAAGCAGTAATGGTGGTACCAGGGCATGAACCTGGTGACTTCAAGTAAAGGTATAGTTATGAGAAGCATCAAGAGACACTTGCAGGAGTGGCTGAGAAAGGCCACAGTGATTGTTTGGGATCTAGTTGTTTTTACTTTGACATACTGGCAGATTTCTTATGAAGATTGGCAATGAGCATTGGAAATCTAAGTTTGGCACTAAAAACAGTGGATAAGGATAGACTAAGAGATTGGAAAAGTCTTATGGAGTTCTGGATTTAAACTAGGGAAGAGAAAGGTAGTGCAATGTGACAGTTTGATAAGAAACCATCATAGTTTCAAGTTCCCCAGGGAGTGGTGCTGTTTGGGGAGGTTGTGAATCTTAGGAGGCTGAGCCTTGCTGGTGGAAATACGTTCATGTGGGTGGACTTTGAGGGTTGATAACTTCCTGTTTTCTGCCTTTGCTAATCTGTGTGCCCATGAAAATATAAATCTTCCTGCTCCTGCCGATTCCCACAACTTTCCTGCCGTTGTAGACTTGCAAGCCAATTAACTCCTCCTTAATTTGCTTTTGTCATGAGATTTATCACAGAAGGAGAAAAGGTAACTAATGCAGGTAGTAGCCACTCTCACCGTTGGAACCAGGAAAGTGGAGGAAATGCCAGAGTGCATTGGTGGTCATGGAGTAATAGGGAGATGACAGCAAGAGGGAAGAGACCCTAGAGCATGGACTTCTCAACCTGGGGGTTGTGGCCCCCTTGGGGTCCCCCATCAGATATCCTATATATCAGATATTTGTATTACAATTCATAACCAGTAGCAGAATTACAGTTAGGAAGTAGCAGTGAAATAATTTTATGGTTGGGGTGACCACAGCATGAGGAACTGTATTAAAGGGTGGCAACATTAAGAAGGTTGAAAACCACTGCTCTAGAAGACTCATACATGGGTGGAGAGCTAAGATATATGGAGAAAACCAAGATTTGGCATGATGCCACTTGGTTGGGAGATGCCCTTCTCAAATTTCAGAGAGTAGATTCATTGCAGTGGTAAGGACAGAAGCAACACTGCAAGGTTAAGGGGTGATTAAGTGCTCAGGATGCAGAAGCAGATTGCTTTTTCAAAACTGAGTATTAAACAGGCAGCTCGAGGAACAGCTTGAATGTGATATGTGTCAACTTAAGATGGTATAGGTAGTTTGTAGCTTCAGATTTAGCAACATGAAGCAGCAATGGGGTCATTGATTGTGGTTGGACACCTGCTGGCTGGGAGCAAAGAAGAGGCCCTACGACCACTGGGGTTTCATATTTATGTGTTAGCTATGTAGAAGGAAAGAAGAGGTGGCCTCTCGTGCTCCATGTAGCTACCTTATACACCCTACCAATGGCAGAGCCTATTCCCATCACTTCAAAAAAAATACATTCAGGGCGACCCACACATACTTCATGCATCTTCCTGTGACTTAAAAGACTCAGGCCGCAGTGTGTATTCATAGCTACCTAGACTGGAGTTGTATAAGGCTCTAGTCCTTTGGAGAAAATCTGTTGCCCACCACTGGAAATTCAAAGTGGAGGGATACATCTATCTTCTGCAGCTCTCTGTGTGAGTATGTTCTTTATTCTGTCATCTGTGTACACGAATAGACATTTCATGCCTAACCAATATTTTATTGCCTAGTTATATATATGCATACCTCTTTTTGGCTAAGGATAAAATTGAAAGCATGATTGTACTACTTTGGATTTTCAAAGTGGAATACAGTATACATTCTACCCAAATAACACAAGCATAAGAGAAGAAGCACAACGAGCCAAGACCACAGACAGTTTTGGTGAGAGACCATGCAGGGTCAGGGCACTAAACTCCTGGAGGTCTGTCTTCTCCTGATGAATCCTTTATATCTCTTTTTGTGGATTAAAGATTTTTCTTTAGCATTGCCACCTTTGAAGTGCCAGATTATAAAAAGGTCTAATTGAAGCACAGGACACGTTTTGTTATTTTCCTCCTGCCATCAAATTTGTAAGATGGCTACACCCAGCAAGAAACATTCACTTTCAATCAACATGAGCTTGAGTTCATGGGCCAGCCTTGAGGATATCAAATGGAAACTACATAGGAATGTATGAGTATTTCCTTTTTGAATTCTGCTTTTAATTTGGGAAGGCTTTTCATCCCTCTGGGATCATAACCTGTTGTATATAAGCCCAGCCTAATCAAGGTAGATGGTATTGACAGAATGACATAGTTTGAACTTGAGCAGGAGGTCAGCAGGCAGATTGTTTTTTCTGTGTGTTCTGCAGTCACTAATAGCACAAATGGGCAGCTGGTCTAACCAGCTGTATTGTTAAAAGGGAAATACGGTGTAGTATACCCCATGAAACCAGCCATGGATTTTCCAAATGGTGAGGCTTTTTTGACTGGAATCAGTCTGGGTGATAGTGTAACTTGCCAGGTAAAATTCATATGGAAAAATGGTTAATGGCAGAGATTGACTTATGGATATTGAATTGTGGGAGTGGGGAGATTGAGATTAGGAGTGAGAGATTATAAATATGGGTAGGAGTGATATTCAGCTGAGAAATGAGATTCCAGGCTTTAAGAGTTCTTCCACTGCTGCTTGGAGGGAAAGGCAGCCTCACTAGCCTGGGCTGTGACACAGTGGTAATAAGAGGTCCTAGCAGCTCTGCCCCTTGGTCCTGCCCCTCTCCAGTGCTCTGTCACAGGTACAGGTGGTGTGGTGCCTGTTGAACAAAAATTTCTGCCAGGTTTTGATTTTTGTTCACGTTTTCTTCTGTGTTTGTGTCCTGAATTCATCTTAAGTTGGCACCTTTCTCTCCTTAGATCTGTACACATAAAGTAAGTCACTTGGTTATTTGCCACGTTTGTGTCCTTGCATATTTAAATGTGATTGTGAATCCTCATTTTTAGCATTCTATTTTCTTTGTTAAAGTGTAGACTTGAAAACATTGACCAGGAGCTTATGTAAGATGAAAGGCTTGTGCAGTGTTTTAAGACTTGATATTACTGGTGTCCACTGACCTATAAGAAATAATGTTTCATAAAATATGTACAGTGACTTTTACTTAATAGATAAACTATTCACTAATTTATTTAAAAATCCAATGACCTACATATTCATATGTTCAGAAGTCCCCATTTACTAACATTGCTTCTCCTCTGAGACCTTCCATCTGAGCAAATCTGTTAAATGAAGTAGAGGAAGCTT